AAAATTATAGCACATGTCAATATTCATATTTAATTTTTCATACTTTAAACAAAACAATTCTCTCTGTAATCATTCTTTATAAAATTATCTCTGAATATTAAAATATTCATCATTCAGGTTTAGGTCTCATATAATTACTCATAATTAAATACTAATCGTCGATCCTACGCATGCATGTCACATGTGAATATGCTTATGACAAATATTATATATTAGTCATGCGTGTTCGGGTCTTACAAATATAGTGTAACATTTGAAAATGGTGGTACACTTAATCCTCCCTCAGCTTCTGGTGATATTGTTAGTTATAGTAAAGGTAAAGGTAAAACATCTATTCTAGTTTCAATTTTGAACAAAGGAGGTATGTCAATATCTAGGTGGGTTAACTGAACTTCAGCAATACTACAATGTTCCAATGGTAAGTGTTGAAGATCCTGATTTTGATATTTTGGCATGGTGGAAAAAATATGGAAGTATGTTTCCAATTCTTTTTGCCATCGCTTGTGATATACTAACAGTTCTTATATCGACTGTAGCATCCAAATATGCTTTTAGTACAAGTGGACGTGTCATTGATGAGCATAAGAGTTGCTTCGATGAAAAGATAGTGGAAGCCCTTTTGTGTTTTCAAGATTGGTATGCCGCTAAAGCAAAAGATCAAAATTTGGAAATAAATTCCCCAATGCCAAAATTTGAAGTTTTAGAAATTTAGATATTAAGAATGTTGTATTTTTTTCATGTATTAAATATTTTAACTTTTCATGTACAAAAGTGTTTAATGGGTAAAATTGTGCAAATGATAGATAGGTGGGTAAGTGTCAACTTAGTTGGGACGTATTCATTCTATTGTGATGCAATTTCTTTTTTATTCATAAATAAAATTATTCATTATTTAATATTTTTCTATTTTGATTTTGACTATACTTTTAATTCAAAAATATAATTTACAAAAAAATTAAATAAAATTGTATATTTTTTAATAGGGCCCAAGAAGTTCGCCCAAAACAGGCCTAACAAAAATCCGTCCGCAAAGCCTGCCCAATAGGTGACGGGCTAGGCTGTGCGTAACTATCCCTACCCAAAGCCCAGCCCGAAAAAATTTTCGCGGACCAAGCTCGACTTGGCCCATAGACAACCCTAGTTGTGCTAGAAGAAGAACAAATCCAAAAATTACAAAATCCTCTTCTTTAGTTTCAAAGAGTTTTACTTTGACCCTTATATTCTTCTAAACCCAATTTTAACTATTGTTTTACTTGGTAAGTTGGAAGAATAGAATTGTGAAAATTTTATGGCAGTCCCAAAAATAGAAAATTCGTTATTCAAAGAAATTACGGGCCTGTTTGGTTTGCGTCTTAAAAACTAGTATCTGAAAACAGTTTTTGAGAAGGGTTTTAAGAAAATAGTTTTGATATTTTTTGAGATAAAAAACTTGTTTGGTTAAATGATTTCAAAAATAATTTAACAATACAGAAAATAGTAAAACCTGTTTGGACAGCCTAAATATATATTAATATATATATATATATTATATTATATATATATATATATATATATATATATATATGTATTAATATATAATATATAATATAATAGATTATATACATATATTATATACTTATATGTATATATATATATACATATATATATATATATATATATATATATATATATATACACATATTATAATATATATTAATATATAATATATAATATAATAGATTATAATATTAATATATAACATATAATATAATATATATTATGAGAGAGAGGAAGAAGTAAAAAAAAAAATGAATGAAAAAATTTGCTGCTAAGGAGACTCGAATGGCAGACCTCATTAAAGTCCAAAATTATTCTTTTTGTTTTCAAAATTTTCAAAGAATATTCTGAAAACATGCTAAACTTGTTTTCTATTTCTTTGACTCAAATTTCATTTTTTCTCAAAATTTTGAGAACAAAAATGCTAAACGAACAGGTTTTTGGTGTTTTTGAAATTTTATGAACAAAAAACAGTTTCCAAAAACCTAACCAAACATGGCCTACACGAACAGATTTTATGAAATTTTGAAATGATAGCTATATGTAAAGGATATATTAAGTATATATCAATGGGTATGAAGTACGAAAATTAAATATAGAATTGTGAAATGACGAAGTTAGGAATAGAGATTGGTTGTTATATGTTATTTTGGATTAGGTGGTGATTGCACTGAAGTTGAAAAGGAGTACTTTGAATTGAATTTTGGGTATCAAGGTGAGTAGTTGACTACTTCTTTTGGGAGAATGTTCTATATTAAATGTGTGTGTGTGTGTGTGGGTGGGTGGGTGTGTGTGTGTGAATTTTTCATATATATGATATATGTGTTGATATATGGGGTTACAATTAAATGATTTGCAACTGTGAACTGTTATACATGTGAATTTTGGAAAACTTGTGGGATAATTTTATATCATTGCTTTGATAATGAAAGGAAAATTTTTTGTGCGTTAGGACTAAAACTATAGTTTTGGTGTGTGTGAAAATCATATTTATGAGACGGGGACTGAGTTACTAGGTCTAAATGATAACGAGATTGTATACCGACATGGTCGGTATAAGAATGTGCACATAGGGGTCAGTCATCAGGTTAGTGATGACAAGAGACGGGACCAGTCATTAGACTAGTGATGACAAGAGATGATGTCAGTTATTAAGCTAGTAGTAACAAACATGATTTGACAAATATATTTAAAACTGAATGTGTGTGTGAGTGTTTTGAGTTATAAATGTATTTTCATTTATAAAGTTATTTGTGAAAATGAGTGAGTGTTTGAGTTATAAATATCTTTTCATTTATAATGTTATTTATGATCACGAGGTCATTTTGTTACATGATTAAGTGTGAGGGATTGGGGTACAATTTGTTGTACTTGTGTATGTAACAAATTTTATTTTTGTATATAAAATGTGAGATTTATTTTCACACCTCATTAGAAGTGGTTGCTATTCGCGGGCCTTTGTGCTCCTCCAAATATTTAACATTTTTCAGGTGAGGTTCAGGGGGAGGAGTAAGTCCTCAGATAGACAAGAGATTAGAAGAATTGAAAATTTATTTTATTGTAGGTCATCAGGAATAAATGTTTTTTTATAGTTTTGAAACAAATATTCAATTGTTTTGAGAATAATGTTGCTTATGTTTAGAATATTGAACATTATGTCGATTGAATCTTTTTGTTTGTCTCCATCAGAGTGTGTCATTTGCGTGACTATATAACACAAAAAGATAAAAAAGTTCAATTGACACACAAAAAAAAGTTCAGAAACTTAATTGACATAAATGTCATAATTTAAATGTCATATATATAGTTTATTACAACAATTTGTTTCACTTGGGTGGCACACTTCGCCACTTTTCGTTAAAAATCTAATAGAGGCATACAGAAATGCTCAATTGATACAATTAAAGAATTCTAGAGCTCAATTGATACAAAAAAAAAAAGTTCAAGGGCGTAATTGACACAAATGTCATGTGTAATATACTCAATTTTTTTATTAGGAAATCACCCATAATACATTAGTAAAGATTTATGTACATATGTTGAATCCAATTTACATTCATATTAGGTGACTTACTTGACAAAAATTGAAATAAAGTGTATCGAAAAATCCAATTCCTCTAAACAAATAGAAAAGGAGAGGGGTGCTAAGAACAAATAAATAACTTCTATTAATCACTTATCGTTTAATTAGTTAGTATGAGTAATGGCTACTCTAAAACTGAATACTTTTTTTGCTATACATTAATTTTCCATGCATATATATTGTGTGGATTTGACATTTTGAACCAATCATGGAAAACAAATTCCCGGAAAAATTAATTCCCAATTCCTTCCTTATATTGAGGATCGCTTTCCATAAAGAAAGAAGAAAAAAAGAACAAAAGACGAAGTCACAGAGAGAAAGAAATAGTTTTCCCACCAAAATAGCAGAATATTAGATCTCTCATTACCATGATCCTTCCCCACCAAATCTTTGGAAGCATTACCTACGTAAGTTCTTCAAATCCTTATTTCATTGCATTCATATACATACCTATTGTGTGTATATGTGTGTGTATGGACATGATTATATTGTGTTTTGTGACATTTTCATGCACCATCAAGATACATAATATACTGATCCAAAAGAAACCCAAGTATGAATCATTTTAGCCGTACAATGCTATTGTGAATGGGGAATGTGTTCATATATATGCATATGCTTGTATGCATACATGCATATGTGATATATCAGTACACATACATGGTTGTATTGCTTTTTCTGATTATGGTACACGCCAATTCGTATGAAACAATTAGGGCCATCATTCATCCATATGTTTAAGTTCTGTAAACCTCTGATGTCATTGTCTACGTCATAGTGTTGGTGATGAAAATAGAGAATACATTTTTAGGCTTGATCTCTGAATTATAATGTCTTGTTTTCATTTTTGGAATTTCATGTGCTTGTCTGCTTGATGTAGTTTTCAGGGTTTCCTTCCCTATCTCCTATTTCCAATTTATCTGCTTGTGGGCATACATATATACATGGTTATTTGGGCTGCCTATATTACTTTCAAACAGACTATAAAAGACAAGTTACATTTTGAATGCTAAAAAATTGCAAAGTATATTCGAATTAGTACACTTTTGAGTCTAGTGAACCCATGAGGCTGCCTTAGGCATCCAAACTCCTGGTCTATTGGCTAATTTTGCTGTTCCATTAATTTGTTTGATGTTGTGCAAGAATCGAAAGATGTCGATCAAAGTGTCTTATGAGAACATACCTACTTTGTCTGTGCAGCAGAATTCATGAGCCACATCTTTCAATTCTTGCACATAGCTGATCAAATTTCTAACAGAAGTGATCATACATTAGTTCCTCTTCGCCGTTAATCATTTTTATGTCCTCAGTAAGTTTTGTCTATCTTTTCTTAGCATTGTGTACCCTTTAATTGTGGATACTATGGTATGTCCTTTGAAAGATGTTTACCTTTTTCATGTCCTTTAACTGCCGATACTATGGTACTAACCTATGTTGTTGGTCTCCATGGTAACTGCGAGGTGTGCGATGAGGAACCTACTATAATTCATTTTTCTGGTGACTCTTATTAACCTTATCATAGTCCCAATATCCTGAAGCAATGCAGTGCTATATCATCCTATCCCGGATTTGGTCAATCCTATTGAATTGCAACTAATTACTTGTCATTGCTTTTGTCCAAAATAAATTGTCCTAATTTCCATGGAAACAATTGAGCATGATTTGACAAGCTAACTGAGAAATTTAACTTTTACCTTGTATAGATGAACTGAAAAGTCTTGCTTAAAATAGTCTCTCAAAACCATGGTTACATTGAAAACCTATGCATTATTATCGTTTTATTTTTTAGATGATTTTAGTTTTTACACTGCAATACCACCTTATCGTATTGAGCGCATACCTGAGAGGAAAGAGTTTATCAAAAGATTTTGGTTCCTTGCCTTAATTCAGACAGGGATAGATATGTAGATAACATCAGAATCTGACTACTACTGTCTGTCATTGCACACTAATTCTAGCATAACTTGGCCAACTTTTCTTTTCTTTCAATGAATAAACTATTTTATATATGCCAGTGTTTTGATACTGATCTCAATGAAATAAATGGTTGTTTTTGTTTACAGATGAAAAATACAAGAAAAGCAATGTAAAGGTGGGTATTTACATCAATTCATGCAAAATGAGTGAACAAAATGGGCTGGCAAACACTTCCACTTTAGCAGACCTTCCTGTGAAACGAAAACGTGGTCGCCCCCGTAAGGATGAGGGCCTTGTTAAACAGGTGAACCCACACACAAATGTTAATCAGTATGTTGAAGTCAATCCAAGTGATGGTATTGATGATGACATGGTGGGCCAGGTGGTTTCTGGGGTTATTGAGGGTTCATTTGATGCTGGATATTTTCTTTCTGTCAAGGTTTGCACCACTGGAACTCTTCTTCGGGGCGTTGTTTTTCAGCCAGGGCTATTTATTCCTGTTACAGCAGCAAATGATATTGCTCCACTTTCTAAGATGTACAAAAGAAGAGAACATTCTATCCCAATTTTCAGCCCACAAAGTCAGGGTAACGGTGTTAGTCCCCATTCAGAACAAATTATCAAGCAGCCTACCCAGCCACGGAACCAGGTACCTAGCACTCCAGACCGAGTTTTGCTTTCTGCACTGCAGTCAAGTGCCATTCCTCTGACCAATATGCCAAAGAATGACTCAAGTGTTTCCTTGGGAGGGCATGTCATGCCACAGCGAAATGAAGAATTCGAATTGGAGAACCAATCTACTCCTTTACTTGAGAATCTTAAAATGGTAGAACAGGACGATGTAATGCAGGTATTTGAAGTGTCATCTTCGTCAGGACCTAAGGACAACTTAGAAGCAGCTAAAGATGTAATATTTGAAAAAGCAGTGGAAGACGTTTTGCCTGGCAAGGTAACCATTGATCAGGAGCCTCAAGTTCATAACCTGGCTATGGAATCGGGACCTCAACCTACTCAATTGATTCAAAATAAATTACAGAAATCAACTCTTGTGCTTCACCAAACTCCTGCAGTTGCTAAACCTCAATGTATGCCTCTAGCACCTCAATCTGTGGGACATGGACTGGAGCAAACTGAGTTGACTAGCAATGAACCGGAAAGCCATAAAAGTGAGCCCCATCAAACTCAAGTAGTCCCTAAAGTTAAATCTGAGCCCCCAGGACCTCAATTTGCGGAAATGAAATATAAGCCTAGTGAGTTGGTTCACAATGAATTGATATACTCAAACCTTGAGGACCACCAAACTCATGCAATTTCTAAACTTCAATTTATGCCTCTAGAATTGATTGGCAAACCATTGGACACTATGATGGAAAGGCAGATTTCTATGAAGAATGATATAGAACAACATATAGAGTTGGAGCCTGTAACTAAGATTTTAACGAAGGATGAGACCTCTGATGCTGACGATATTGAAGTAGGTTCACGGCTTGCACCAAAGGAAGATGAATCCATTCCATCTAAACCTGAGCTTGCTAGTGAAGAATATGTTCCCCTGGGAAAGATCAATCACCAAAGCTCTACTTCTTCTTGTCCAATGACTGACAAAGATGTTTTTCAAGATACCATTCTGCCAGCACAACTTCATAGCCATCCCAGCAATCTGTCCGAAATTGAACGTGGGTGAAGACTACAATGAATGACCCATCTTAAACAACGCCAATAAGGATTTCAGATCAGACTAGGTGTGTATGCTCACATAGTAATTTCTACCACCTTGTGTCAACAAATCCAAATTCTTTGTATTGGGAATTTTTGCAGCCTACCTTTAATTCAGAAAGGTCAATTTACTTTCTCTTGCATTGGAAACATTTTTCTTGTAGGAAGGTTGAGTTTTCCAATATCTTTGGATGAGTTTGGTTGCTATATGATGAAAACGAGTTTGGACAATTCATCCTCCCTGGGTATATTAACACTATGGGATTAGTTAGAGTCATAGGACCCTTTTGTCAAGAATGACACTTGCATATTGCAATGGTGTTTGGTTAACTAATTTTGGGTTATAAATGCTACATTTATCAGGGAAGGTGACTCCAAAGAAGCACCTTTGGGTAGTTGAATTCTGAAAAAGGAATATACTGCACAGGGAGGATTAAGAGATTAAAGAATGTCACCATTCAGAAAGGATATGACAGTAGTTTTGCTGGTTAAATTGACTACTATACTGTTTTATTATGGCTTTTTTCAAGAAAAGGTTAATGTAGGATTTGACTATATAAAAAATTCTAGAATCAATAGAAGGACGAGGAATAACATAGTACTGTTTGATTCATAAGGATACAATGCAACAAGCAAAAATTTTAACCAGCAAATAGAGGGTTAGTAAAATTATCTGATATTGTGGAGTGTTCTAGTTGGTTTCTCATATAATCGCAACTATACAAAAAAGATGATGGTTTAGGATAGAGGTTTTTTTTTAAAAACCTATATACTAAATTGATGATGAGGTTGAATTTGTCTTGTGGGTTGCTATGTGACAACCTTTGAATGAGTTCTACACACCATGTAGGTCAAGTCACATGAGTAATGTTATACAGATCTAAAATTCAGATTTTATTTGTCAAGTTTATGATGTTGTTTCATTATAATTATTGAATTGAAGAGTAAATTTCAATGTTTGATAGAAATCATAATCAATCTACATGTCATAATGAATCAAATTTACAAATGATATTAAATTTTTAAATTCAAATAACATTACTCATGAGCTGTTGTCATTTACGATCTTCCACTCATCCCATCTCATCTCATTTATGTTGGGGTTTAGTGTATTTCGAAGTTCTGATCCACTGGACTCTTGGTTTTCACGGTTGATAAGATAAGAATATTATTTTAATGAATATTCATGTAGCTGTTCATTGAAGATTCCACCCACTGCAGGCCTATGCTTGTTGGCGATACTACTTTTGTTTCGATAGGAAAGATTGAACCAACTCTTCCATCTAGAATATGACAAAAAAAATTAACTTAAACTCATAATTAATACAAAGATTAAATAATTTGTCAAGTAATATAATCTCAATAATAAAGTGTAACCATTACAATTTCAATAATAATACCCTCTATTCCTTTGGAATGGCAGAATGGTTGATAATAACAAAAAACGTTTACTCTTTTTTTACGAGCTACTTTTCAAATTATGTATTTTTATCTATTTCTTTTGATCGATAAAAAGTTGACTCTATTTCTAATCTCTTTGACTTCAACCAAATGATTACTTTAATTTATCAATCGTCAAATTAATCATTCATTAAGTACAACAATCACTCTAATTAGTACATATAGTCACCAATCTTAAAAAAGATTAGTATGTAAAAAAATTATTTGTATAACTCAAATTGTAACGTTCAAGTCACAACAAAAATAATCTTATGGATGCACCCCTTTTAACTTATTCAAACATCATCGACTAAAAGCAACACAAGGAATTGCATATGACCAGAACAGTCACAATAGACAACAGAGAAGGTCATTTTCATCTCCACAAAACCTCCTATTATAAGCTCTCCCCCCTCCTCTCAAGGTTTCAGATCACATGCACCATCTCTCTCTCTGCCATGGAACTTGTAATTTGTTTAACGTCACTTCTTCTGCTTCTCCCTCTTCTCCTTGTCATAACCAAGAGATCCTCCAAAAGACTCCCGCCAGGTTCAATGGGAATACCCATTGTAGGGCAGAGCCTGAGTCTTCTTCAAGCCATGAGAGCAAACAAAGGTGAACAATGGATCCAAGAAAGAATAAAAAAATATGGACCCATTTCAAAACTCAACGTCTTTGGAACACCAACAGTTCTTCTCCATGGACAAGCTGCAAACAAGTTCATATACACTTGTGACAGCAACATCCTTGCTAATAAGCAACCGGAATCGATCAAGAGGATATGTGGAGAGAGAAATTTACTGGAGTTGAGCGGCGAAGATCACCGGCGCGTGAGGGGAGCCCTTGTGTCGTTCTTAAAGCCCGAGGTGTTGAAGCAGTATGTGGGGAAGATGGATGAAGAAACAAGAATGCACCTTCAGATGCACTGGCATGGGAAACACCAGGTTCAGGTATGTATGTCACTAAATATGTTAACCGAGTCGAGTTTTGCGATCAAGCTCGAATTGTTTAAAAAATGAGCCGAGTTTGAGTTCAGGCAAAATCCGAGTAATTCAATTATTTTACATATAAACGAGCTGAATTTTACAAGTTCAAAACGAATTTAAAAAATTGTTCAAATTCAGCTAATTTAAAACACAAAGTCGAGTTCACGTAGCCTCTTATTCAAGCCAAGTTTGAATAGCTCGTCTCGATTAACACCCTTATATATCACACTTATTGATAAGAAAAATACTATAAACTTCCTATTAATCTTACCTAATATGTTGATTTAATGATGACAGTCTAAATTATTATCGCCTCTAATATGTTAATTGTGTTAAATAAGCTTGTTAAGTTTTTAATTTATATCACTTTTGGTCTAATTAAAAACTTAGAGATCTAATTAAAAGTTGTTGGGATTATACTTAAAAAGAGAAGTGATCATACCCATTGGTTTTTATTGGTCTCCCACAAATAGGATTATGTGATAATATAACAGGTGGAGCCTCTCATGAAGACCCTGACCTTCAACATAATTTGCTCACTCATATTCGGAATAGAACGTGGGACAAGAAGAGAAGTACTTGTGCAGCTGTTCAAAAGTCTAATTGAAGGAGTTTTGTCAGTACCCATAAACTTGCCTTTCACTCGCTTCAACCACAGCCTCCAATCAAGTGCAAAAGCCAAAGCCATAATAATGGATCTTATACGTGAAAAGAGGGTAGCTTTGGAAGAACAAAGGACTTCCCCTCAGCAAGATCTCATCACCTGTTTGATAAAAATCCGCAATGAAGATGGTTCAGCTTTACTATCTGATGAGGAGATTGTCCACAATTGCATCATTGTCATGATTGCTGGACATGACACATCCTCCATCCTCCTCACCTTCTTAGTCAAGCGCTTAGCTGAGGACCCATCTGTTCTTGCTGCTGTTGTTCATGGTATGCCCAAACACTGCAGCCCTACTTGCCTCTATAGCCTCTTCGATAGACATTGGTAGATTTGTTTAGGGGTAATGGTATGCTACCAAATTTTCTTACCAAATCTCCGTCCCAAATGATGTAATTAATATCCAATAACGGAGATTGTGCCACATCATTTGGAATGAAAAATTTGGCAAGCAAAGCATTTTCCTTTGTTTAAAATGAAAAATCAACCATCACAACTTTCGAATAATGCAGTTATGGCACAGTATACAGAATAGAACTTATGAAAAGGTGAAGATAAACCCAAAAAAAGAAGGCACAATAAAAACCGTAAGGTGGGGAACGTAAGAAATCAAGTCTTAAGTATGGTTCAGGTTTAGTATAGAATAGGATTGAATAGTTGAATCTAATCCAATCCTTGATAGTGGTAATAATTGATCAACTATTTTATCCTCTCTATATATCATGTTGATGAAAGGTTAGATAAGGTGTGAGTTCATTGTTTTGATGCCAATCTCATGTTTTGATGAAAGATTAATGTATAGTACTAATTTAAAAACAAAAGCACCCTACATCAATGCATAATTCCCTAACATATGAGGCTACCATGGTTATCTTAGACATTAATAATAATCATGGTTTATTTAATACCACCTATTATATGAGATTGGTTTACCAAGTATAGAGTGTTAGATGACAGTGTAACAACTGGCCAGTATCATTAATATTGAGCTTTATATTGCTGCTGGAGAACAACTGAATAAATGCCAATGAATAATAAACTGAGATTACAGAACAAGAGGAAATTGCTCATAGCAAGAGTAATGAGGAGCTGCTCACTTGGGATAACCTTTCCAAGATGAAGTACACATGGAGAGTAGCAATGGAGACTCTAAGGATGACCCCTCCTGTGTTTTGTTCCTTCAGGACAGCTGTCAAAGATTTTGAATATGGAGGATATCTAATTCCCAAAGGATGGCAAGTATGAGACAATATCTTTGATGCTCTTTCTTTTTGTTTATTTTATAATCTTGTCATTGCAGTGTTTATGAGTACCTGATTAAGTGAAGACACTGTTTACATGATTCAAATCCACGACTCCAAGATTATGCAGAGTCACCGTCATTCTATATGTGTTTTAATTTTTTTCAATAAGCACAAGTACTTAAGTGCATTTTCTGATGCACAGATTATTTGGGCTGCCTGCATGACACATATGGATGAGACCATCTTCCCAGATCCATCAAAGTTTGATCCAACACGCTTTGAACAGCAAAAACTAACCCCTTACGGTTTAGTGGCATTCGGAGGAGGACCAAGGATGTGTCCTGGTAATGAGTTTACAAGAATTGAAACTCTAACAATGATTCATCACTTGGTGACCTTATTCACTTGGAAGCTCTCTTCCAAAGACAACCCTTTCAGCAGAGATCCATTGCCAGTCTTCAAAGAAGGACTACCGATCCAAATTGAGCCAAAAAAATAGCATAATGCAATGAAATACTATGCAAGCTCAATTGGCATTAACAGAGAATAATGAAATCTTACAGATCAGTGTGTCCATGGATCAGTCTACTGGTGGGAACAGTTCTGATATGACAGTGAGAAAATCTGCACAACAAAAGGTGAAAAAAGGATGGCATCTACAATTCAACACAGAATGTTGTCATCCACAAAACAACATCAAACAGACTATATTGTGTGTGTTTGTGTGTGTGTGTGTGTGTGTGTGTTGTAAGGAAGTGGAGGATTTATCATGAACAAATTTGTTGCATTACATAGATCATCAATGATATGTTTTATCTTGCCATTTTTGTGATTTACTTCCCTTAAATGACACCTCTTATATTTTTTGAAATGTCGTTGAACATTTTTTAATTTATTTGTACGTTTTCGATAAGACCCATGACATGATTGGTAGGTACTGACTAGACAAAAGCACTAGGTGTAGGCGGTGGTGGTGGTGGTGAGGTCGGAAGAGACAGATGCGGCTATGTTGGTGATCACTACCAGCCTTTCTCTGTTACCCCTCTCTTGGTATAGAATTATAGGTAGAAATGTAATAATGTAATTTTTTTTATAATTTGATGAACTAATTTATTATATTTATTAAATTACTACGAAACCCAAATAACATTGGAATTTACTATGATACATTGATTGATTACTTGTGTTGCTAAATTAAGTCTAAGTAGCACTGCTTGAGATGCAATTGAAGTTTGAAAAAATATAAGGGATGCCTCTCTAGGGCAATATAGGCAAGAGATGTGGTAAAGCTGACAGACAAAGTTTGTGAAATTTTATAAAACAAAGTATGGGGGGCGTTTGTGAAATTTTAGATAATATAAGTGTGTCTTTAAAGATGAAAATTATATAGGAGGGGATGTTGTGAAAATTTTCAAACCTCCCCTTTTTTTATAATAATTCCATTCTCACCTCTTTGACTCTCTGACATCATTGCGTCAATTTTGAAGCATGTAATTGGCCAATACTCGTCATAGACACCATTCGTTGGCTCGAGAATTATACGCGGTCTCAACTCGCCTGATTTAGGCAAGTCCCAGTCGAAGACTAGAACAGTTAGCTTCGTAAGCATTTCATACTCTCTCTCTCTCTCTCTCTCTCTCTCTCTCTCTCTCTCTCTCGTATAATAGGTTTGAGGCTGTTGAAGCACATTGTGTTCGTATTGATTTTCTCTATCCAGAAGTTTTTTCTTTCCCCGGGAAGAGTTGTGTTAGGTTTTGGGTTTGGTTTGGTTGATTCGAGAAAATTGAGGATTGAGCAATGGCTCAAGCTGTAGAAGAATGGTATAAACAGATGCCAATAATCACTCGTTCGTATCTCACTGCTGCAATTGTCACCTCCATTGGTTGCTCCCTTGAGGTATCTCCCTCCCTCTCCATCACATATGACTATGTATATCAACATGCATACGATTCAATGCAATTGGGTAGATTTATATATTTCTTTGTTCAGTTCATGCAATTGGGTGTAATTGTTTTGGGTTTAATTGCTATTGTTGTTTTGTACTTTGTGAAAATGATTTATGCAATTGCATGAGGGTCAGTTCATTGTCCATTACCGTCGGGGGCGGAGGCAGGGTGGGGGCAATTGTCCCCCACTGAAATTCTGAAAATTTGTAGGGTTAATTTAAAATTATAATAAAAATTAATTTTTTTTAATAACTTGCCCCCACTCATTTTTTTTAATGCACTAAAAATTTAGCCTCAAGATTCGCTTACAGATACTTAATCTCATAATTTTTTATTTAATCTTTAGATGTCTTTATTCCTTCTACAATGATTCACTTAAGTTACTGAATCAATCATTCTCCGAATTCGATTACTAAGACATACATATATATTTTTGACCAATTATCTAAGTTCAAATATACTACATCATTTTTTAAGATTTTATATTTGGGCACATAAAAAAATTTGATCTAATTATGATTTAATTCAATTCACTTCGATCAAATATACTACATCATTTTCTAAGATTTTAGATTTGGGCGCATAAAAAAATTTGATCTAATAATGATTCAATTCAATTCATTTCGATTCAATTTGATATGCATACACAAATATGTAGATGTAAACATTTGATAAAACTAAACAATTAAATTGAATTAAAATTATAATGCGACACACACACACACACAAATATATATATATATATATATATATATATATATATATATATAAGATTGAAGTTTTGATAAAATTCATAATATTTAATAGATTCAAATATGGATTAAAAAAACAAATCAGTTGAATAATTAGATTATATTCAAAATAGGATTTTCAAGACAAATTGTCATTCGGATGAGTCAAAATCTTATCATTGACAAGCACACTCACAAAATGATATGTCAAAATAGCATTCTTTATGAAAATTGTCTTTATTCTAATACTTTTAAAAAAAATTATATTAGTTTTTCATAATCGGCTATCATTTTTTTACGTGTATTTATATGTGAAATCTTTGAAAGTAAAAAAAATAATATGAAGAATTATTTTATAAAAGGTGTTAGATTAGGAAATTTTTTTTTATAGAAAATGAAATTTTGAGATAATAAATATGTTCACTAGATGCAACGAACTTTGATAATTAATGAGTAATCATTTTCTTTAACTTGATGGTTGCCTCCGGTCCTCTTTAACTTGATGGTTGCCCCCACTGAAAAGAAATTTTGGCTCCGCCCCTGATTACTGTGTTGGTCAAAATTGGGCAAAATTGTTGTGGGCTTCTATGACTGGGTGGTCTAACATTTTGAAAACGTGGGTTTTTGGCTTTTAAGTTTTAAAGTCATTTTTACTATTATTATTATTGGGAGTTATCCATGTTGAGGCTGTGTTTGTAATGCTATGCAGATTATTTCACCGTATAACTTGTACTTGAACCCAATGCTGGTGGTTAAGCATTACCAGTTCTGGCGACTTGTCACCAATTTCTTCTACTTCCGGAAAATGGGTAATGTGGTTTGCTATAAACCAAGTGATTCTTTTTCATTTTTTGGTAGGATGGAGTAGTGTGGCAGAGCTTCAGATTTTGATTCTGGGTGGATAATATTCAGTTTATGGGTTTGTGCCTTTGATGGGTACATTTGTTTTACCTTGTCGAGTGTTAATGTTCAATCACTTTTTTAAGCAATCATATCATTTAAGAGAGGGTTTACAGTTGTATGGACTTGATGATGGAAATGCTTGGATTCAGAATTATGAACAAAAAAAAAACATGAGGCTTCTCTACTGAATATGGGAAGAGAATTAGAAAATTGTGTATGCAAGTTATTTCAATGTCGTGAGACAGTATTACTTCCTTTCTGCTTTAGGGGTTGGCTTGCAACCTTCAATTCTTTTACTCTGGCAGAGCTGCGAACATGACACCTTACATAGCTCATTTTGTAAATAAAAGTGGGAGCTAGTCATGAATGACTGAAGTTTGTCGTCAATGAATCTCTGCAAATGCACTTTCATTTGATGTGGAGATCCTTGTGGGATTTACATTGTGCTTTTAATCATGTAGGTCGGAAGTTGGTGTCCCAAATTCTGTATATAAGTCATTTTTTGGTATTCTTGGTGTTCCTCTTTGCATTGATCTACAGAAGTTCAACTACTGTTCGGGCTGGACCTTTTGTAATTTTTAACTCCAAACAAGAAATCAAAAAAATAAAAGCGACGAAAGGAAAATAGAGGGATTTCATGAGGCATGAATATCCTATTTGGAAACAAGCAGAAAAAATTTGCAGCGTGTGTGTTATGTTATTCTATAGAAGTACTCGAATACACTTGCCATGATGATTGCTTCTCCTAATTCGTGTTGAATGCGGCCTTGTTTTCTGATAAGGAGCTTTAATTTTAGTTCATAGAATGTCCTACTTTGGTCAAGTTTTTGCATGTTTATTGGTGAGCACAGCCAAGCCAACTGAACTGTACATTAGATTTTGACTTCATCATGTCTACTTATTTTTAAATATCCCATTTTTTTGCCATCCTATTCTCCTTGTAGCATCTTCTAACAATTTCAAATGTCGAACAACTTGCTTGCATCTTCTCATCAACTGGTGCTAATTCTAAGTGCATACCGCTACCCATAAATTGACATTCAAGCTTTTTGATGTTACCTGTTACATCTCTCCTCTCAACCTTTTCTTATAACCGCTTCATTGTATGAAGCACTTCCTCAAATATTTTGTATTATTGGTGAGTATGATATGTACTTCCTATACATTTTCTTCTCTAATTCTACAATGCAAAAACTCACGGTGGATATCTCTATGCCATTAAGATCCTTTATTTTCTACGCTTGTATTGTCATTCCTGTTTGTGTGTGCATTTTTATGATCTCCAAGTTTTCATGGAAAAGCTGATTATATATAATGAAAGCAGATGCACAGTTCCCTTAGTATGTTGCAAGATTATTAATCCTTTAGTTATAAGCTTTCAGGAGTTGTCCCATTTGTGTTCTTAAAGGAGAAGTTTATCATCAGATCCCATCGGAATTGATATGCACTTTTGTGTTAACACCTTTGTTTCCTGGATTTGGTATTTGAAGAGGCTTCTATCTTGACTTCTCTATTGCTGTTATAATCCTTTTATATCGGAACTTCTGCTCAACACTCTCGTAGGCGCTTCTTCACATAAAAAGCTTAGATGCACACACGCTAGAATACTTACTAAAAAATATGTGGTACACACTGTTTTGTTGAATGTTTTATCTTGTTGAATGTAAATTGTTTCTCCCTTTATTGCGCTTGAAGACATTTTAGGTTTATTCAGATATAGTTCTTCAGGTGCTTCACATGGTTGGTGTCAATGTTTCCAGACTTGGACTTTCTGTTCCACATGTTCTTTCTTGGCCGGTACTGCAAGCTTCTTGAAGAGAATTCTTTCAGGGGAAGGACTGCAGATTTCTTTTGCATGCTTTTATTCGGTGCCACTGTTTTAACTGGGGTTGTTCTCATCGGAGGGATGATACCTTATGTGTCGGAGTCATTCGCAAAGATTGTATTCCTTAGCAATTCGCTGACATTTATGATGGTTAGTTGGCTTACCTGTTTACAAATCAAATGTCTTATAGTAAAACTTGTTATATTTAAATGTTCTCTGACATCTTGTTATCTGGTTTGAAAATGTATATTTACATTTTCACTTTTCAGGTCTATGTGTGGAGCAAGCGAAATCCATTTATCCATATGAGTTTCTTAGGCCTCTTTACATTCACAGCAGCTTACCTTCCTTGGGTGAGTGAATCACTTTATTTATTATGTGATTTTGCCCAACTAGTACAATTGGTGGGAGTAGGTGCAGTCATGTTGACAGTGTTGTATGATTAATGTATGCTCTGTACTGTTACCATCAACACTCTGTAGATGGTGAATGATAGTTTCAATTAGGATGTGTACAAGATATGTAGTTTGAGTTTGCGTCAATATATATTGCTGAGTGTGTAGTATATTTTAAGTTTATTCCCCTCATTATGTCCTGCCAAATTATTCTGTTGTCTTTCACTTAAATGGAAAATTTATTTCGGTTGCCTTTCTTATTGGAAACTTCTTATTTCTGTGGCCGCATGGGAAAAGGTTGAATTCTAGATTTGTGTTTTGATAAGTGTAAAGGATTAACACAATATATTGAAGAGGAACAGAGAGAGGTCAAAAGTTTAACTTAGCTCTCATACATAACTTGTATTTATAGTTAACTTACAATAATAATAATAACACATACATCCTCTTACTATTAACAATTTACACATACTATTCTATTATTCTTACTCCCCCTCAAGTTGGACTATATATATCATATAATTTAAGCTTGGAACAAATAGCCGTAAGACTCGTACGACTCAATGCTTTGGTAAACATATCTGCAAACTAATCTTCAGATTTCACAAATGGAGTTGTAATCTCCCCAGCTACTATCTTGTCCCGAACAAAGTGACAGTCAACCTCAATATGCTTGGTTCTCTCATGAAACACAGGATTGACAGCAATATGGATAGCTGTCTGGTTGTCACAGAATAACTGTAAAGGAAGTTGAACTGGAAACCCAATTTCCTGGAGGAAGTGTAGTAGCCAAGTCAACTCACTCATAGTATGTGTCATTGCCCTATACTCAACCTCAGTATTGGATCTTGCTACCACGGGTTGTTTCTTACTTTTCCATGAGACAACATTACCTCCTAAGAAAGTACAATAACCAGTAGTTAATCTCTGATCAGAAGTAGAGTCAGCCCAATCAGCATCTGAGAAACCTTCCACTCTAAGATATCCATTAGCTCGATATAACAGTCCAAGTCTAGGAGCTCGTTTGAGATATCGCAGAATACGAGTAACTGCCTCCCAATGTGGTATTCTAGGACATTCCATGAACTGACTTACTATACTGACTACATAGGAAATATCCGGTCGAGTAATAGTGAGATAATTAAGCTTCCCAACCAATCTGCGATACCGACCCAGATTCTCAAACAATACACCATTATCCATTAATAATTTATGATTCGGATCCATAGGGACATCATTCGGTCTACCACCTAGCAAACCTGCTTCCTCAAGCATGTCAAATACATATTTCCTCTGAGATAAACAAATACCCTGTTTAGATTGAGCCACCTCAATACCCAAGAAATACCTAAGTTTTTTCAAATCCTTAGTATAAAATCGATCCTGTAAAAATAATTTTAACTTGGCAATCTCCCCAGAATCATTTTCAGTAATCACAATATCATCGACATAGATCACCAATAGGACATACCCGGCATCTGTTTAGCCTATGAAACACAGAATGATCTGTTTAACATTGAAGAAGACCAAACTCTAAAACTGCATCTGAAAACTTACCAAATCATGCCCTCGGTGACTGCTTTAAACCATACAAAAAAATTTTTAACCGACATACACTCTCACTCTTACCATACTCCCCCTGAGCAGTAAACCCAGGTGGCTGCTCCATGTAGACCTCTTCAACCAAATCACCATGTAAGAAGGCATTCTTGACATCTAACTGAAACAAGGGCCAATCAAGATTAGCAGCCAAAGAAATTAAGATATGAACAGATAAAATTTTGGCAACAGGAGAAAAAATCTCCTCATAATCAACACCATAAGTCTGAGTAAAGCCCTTTGCAACAAGTCGGGCTTTGAGACGCTCCATAGAACCATCTGGATGAAATTTAACAGTATACACCCAACGACATTCAACAGTTCGTTTACCAGAGGGTAAAGGGACGAGATCCCAAGTCCCATTATGATGTAAGGCATCCATCTCCTCCTCCATAGCTTTCCTCTAACCCGAATCAGATAATACATCCTGTAAATGCTTAGGAATAGATATAGCAGATAATTGGGAAGTAAAACAGAAGAAGACAGGTGACAAGGCATCATATGAAACAAAATGAGAAATGGGATGATTAGTAACACACGAATGAGTACTTTTGCGAAGAGTAATAGGTAAAGAATCTAAATTACCTGATGTTCTTGGATCAGAAGGCGGCAAGGAAGACGGTACGGGCACTTCAGTCAATGGGCGAGGACGGCGAGAATAGACATGGAGAGGTAAAGTAGATGGTAACACAGTGGGCAGCGGAATATCTGATGGTGGTACAGGAGAGGAGCCAAAGTCCAGATCTAAAGGCTGAGAAGGTGCTGGAAAGTATGGAACAGATTCTTCAAATGTGACATCCGCACTAGTAAAATATCGGTGCAGAGAAGGACTGTAGCAACGATACCCCTTCTGCGTGCGGGAGTAACCAAGAAAAACACATTTGGTAGCGCAAGGGTCAAGATTGTCAAATCCAGGACCCAAATTGTGAACATAACAGACACAACCAAAAACTTTAGGAGTAAGGAAAAATAAGGACTTACCAGGAAACAGAACAGAATATGGACTTTGTTCATTTAACACAGAGGAGGGCATACGATTAATAAGATGACAAGTAATAAGAACAGCATCACTCCAATGATATCGGGGAACATTCATCTGGAATAACAAGGCATGAGTGACTTCCAACAAATGGCGGTTCTTGCGTTCAGTAACACCATTTTGTGGAGAGATGTAAGCACAAGAAGTCTAATGAATAATGCCAGTTTTACTAAGATAAGCTGAAAAAAGATCAGATTCATATTCACATGCATCATCGGAACGTAAAGTATGTATACGACAACCAAACTGAGTTTTTATTTCTTTACGAAAAGTCTCAAATATAGAGAATAATTCAGACCGAGCTTGCATCAAAAATAACCAAGTCACACGAGAATAGTCATCCACAAATGTCACAAAATAAGGATATTTATTAGATGAAATATTCTTTATTGGACCCCATACATCAAAATGGACTAATTCAAATGGACTAGACACACGATTATTAACTCTAGACTGAAATGACACACGGTGATGCTTACTAAGTTGACAAGCTTCACAAGACAAAGACGACACATAACTAATACTAGGAACTTGGCGCTTCAGATTCTAGAGAGAAGGATGTCCAAGACGACAATGTCATTGAAAAGGAGACAACGAGGTCTGTAAAGTTCGGGTAGATGAATCAAAGTCAAGGTAATATAGGCCACCAGCTTCATGCCTCATACCAATCTTCCTCTTCGTCTTGAGATCCTGAAAGACACAATAAGAGGGATAAAAAATTACAGAACAGTTGAGAACGAGTAATCTTGCTAATAGAAAGTAAACTAAAAGGAAACTGAGGAACAAATAACACAGAAGATAGAGACATATCAGGACTCAAGTGAGTAGTCTCCAGACCTGAAACTTTAGAACAAGTACCATTAGCAAGAGTAACATTACGTGTGGAAGTAACAGACTGATAAGTAGAGAAAACGGCAGACGCACCAATCATGTGGTCAGAGGCGCCAGAATCTATGATCCAAGGACTGCGAGTGGAGGACAATAAACAGGTGGAAGCAGTATCTGACCGGGCAAAAGTAGTAATGGAGGGAGATGAAACAGCTTGTTGTTGGGACAAGAACTGAGCATACTCCTCTCGACCCAGTGTAATAGTAACCGACCTAGTGTCTGGTGGAGCTGACCGAGTTATGGAAGCAACAATAGAGGTGTCATCCTGATAAGAAGCCTGATTAGCAGTACCAGAAGGTTTTTCATGTAAATCCTAACAGAAATCAACAGTGTGTCCTCCACGACCACAGTGAGTACAGGAACCGGATCCACTACGACCTCCGCGACCAGCACGACCACCACGTCCACCTCGATGACCATCACTATGGCTATTAGGAACTACAAGAGCTGAGCGATCAGTGGAGACACCATGATCAATGACTGAAGGAGTAGACAGTGTAGCACGCTATAAACGAGAGAAAACCTCCAGCAGTGATGGAAGACTAGATCCACCCAAAATCTAAGAACGAATAGTCTCATATTCAGGTTTCAATCCTACCAAAAATCGAACAACATTCAGGTCCTCATGTTGCTTTTGCCAAACTGCTGCATCAGTAGTAAACGGATGGTAAGTTTTTATCTCCTCACAGACTCTCCTAACATGAAAGTAATAATCCGCAAGGCTCAGAGTACTCTTCTCCAACCGGAAGTACTCCTTGTACACTTGATACGTACGGGTAAAATTACCTGTACCAGAATATATAGTGGCCAAGTGATCCCATATCTCTTTGGTAGTATCAAGATAGAGCAGAGAAGAGCTAATACTGGGCTCTATGCTATTCAACAATAAAAAAATAATCTGAGCATCCTCTTGTTCCCACTGATTATACCCAGGAGTGTCCTACTTGGGTTTAGAACCCACCAGATATTTCTTAAATCTTTTGCCTCGAAGAAAGACTTGAACAAATCGGGACTATAAAGTATAATTAGTCCCATTGAGTTTGACAGAAGTCATGGGACCATTGATAAGAGTAGGAGAAGGCAACATGGGATTTTTTTGTTCCATAATAATGCAGCAAATAGCAAATAAGAAGTGTTGCAATAAGAATCCGGGTTAATTGGACCTGCTGGAGGACTGAACCGGACTGAAAGGAGCTTCTGGGTTGCTGAACCGGACCACTTGAGGCTTCTAGAAGGCTAAACCAGCCCCAAAAAAAACTACTAGAAGGCTGAACCGGACCCGAAAGCCTACTGGAAGGCTGAACTGGACGGCAAAAGTCTGCTAGAAGGCTGAACCGGACCCAAGAAGCCTACTGGAAGGCTGAACTGGACCCCAAAAACCTGCTGGAAGGCTGAATCGGGCAAAATAGATGCACTAGACCGATGAACCGGAGTGAAAGATGATTGAACCGGTCTGAACCGGTGCAAAACCTAACTGAACCGGGTCACAGAAGGTTACTGGACCGATGAACCGGAGTCACCACTGACTGAACTGGTTTGAATCGGTCTAAGGTTAACTGAACCGGACTTCGGTTTTTTTTTTTTTATCCAGACCTTGTCTTCTTCATGATTAGGGTTTCCTTAGCCCTAATTTTCGACTGTGTCTCAACTACCACAGCTAACACTAGCGAATGACTGCGCCTCAGCCACCACAGCGAGGGAATCTTCAACTGTGTCTCAACCACCACAGCGAACGATTGACTGCACCTCAACCACCCCAGCGAACGACGGCGCCTCAGCCACCACAGCGAGCGACCACGATGACCAGACAAACCACCACAACTACACCACCACCAACAACGACAAACAGTAAACTCGCCACTAGCAACGATCAACAGCACACAACCACAACAACAAATTTATCACCACCACCATCACTGTAACTTCTACAATCAACAGTACCACCACCACAGATTAAGTTAATTTATCCAAAATATATTTAGGATTAAACCATGCTCTAATACCATGATAAGTGTAAAGGATTAACACAATATATTAAAGAGGAACAGAGAGAGGTCAAAAGTTTAACTTAGCTCTCATACATAACTTGTATTTATAGTTAACTTACAATAATAATAATAACACATACATCCTCTTACTATTAACAATTTACATATACTACTCTATTATTCTTAACATGTTTAAACAAGGTGACTTGCACTTGGTGACGTTGGATATTGAACTTCATGCAATGTTAGGAATTGTTCATTCCTTGAACAATGACAACAATGCGTAACACCTGACTCCATTCTCCTCCTGCAGGTTCTGCTGGGATTCTCTGTCATTGTTGGCGCTAGTGCTTGGGTTGATCTACTGGTATGCTTAAAGTGTTGTAGTATGACATGAATATTTTCACATTTGTGCATATGGTCCATGTTCTAAACAGTTACAATTTCCACAGGAGGAATATGAAAAAAGTCATTGTGTCTGTCTTAAACATAGGAATCAAAATTGGACTATTTTCCCTCAATACTTTGTTATAATGTGGATTATAGGGATGCCAATAGGGGGATCTTCATTCCCTAGCCCATAAGAGTGGCCATCGAGGCACCTTCACCTTGCCAAGTTCCCAATTCCAAAAACCCATAAAGATCCCATTGTCACTTCGCTGCTTTCACCAGTTTGGGGGCATGATGACCGTATCCTCCTGAGATGTGTGGCCCTTCTTTTTATACCGAAATTGTTTGATTTGGAACAAATCCTTTTTGAATCCTATTATTTTGTTTTGGGTGCTCCCACCTACTCACCTTATTTAATTTTCTTCTAGTTTTTAGAATCATAAATGTTGGGATTTTTCCCTGTGCGAATGTGTGGCTACAGATGAGCAATGGTCAGTAGCCAGATGCATGCATGTTTCTTTCCATCCTTGTTGTGTGAACATAAAATAGTTTTATGGTTTACTCACTGCTTATTCCGTTTGTGGTTCAGGGAATGATAGCTGGCCATGCATACTATTTTCTTGAAGACGTGTATCCGCAAATGACTGGCCGTCGACCCCTAAGAACTCCGTCATTTATCAAAGCATTGTTTGCCGATGAGCCTGTTGTTGTGGCACGCCCTGGAAATGTGAGATTTGCACCTCCTCCCGTAGAGGTTCAACAACAAAATTGATGACATTTTTAGATAGACTAGACTAATGGGACGTGGCCTTTGCTTATTTTACAAGTAGAATAAATTGGGGACCAATTGAAATATGATTTTTTTTTTGGGGAAAGTAATTGAAAATATATTCAGTTATGAATCCATCTGAGTTGCATGCTAGTTCTAGCCATTTTGCATTCGTTGCTTCTATTAAACAACCATTTATTCTAAAAGCTTTTAAAAGTTATATACTTCCAAAAGTTGTTATTTTATACCGGTTCTCGTGCTGTTGAGACGAACCCAGGCTCCCCCCTATATAGGTGCGGGTGAGCTAAAAATCCACTGAAACGAAAATTCAACTAGTGTCTAGTAATCTGAATGGAGCTTTTGAGCAAGGTAAACCCAACAAGTCCTTAGGAATCTGAATGGAACTTCGTAAGCAAAGTGTAAAGTCTACTATCGAATCTACTGAATCCACAAGAAAATCTCTCTAAGCAGTGCAAACAACCACATGGCTAAAATGGAGTTTCCTTCTGGATGCGACAAAGGATTACGAACAGTACCCGGGAGCCGGCTCTGCTCTGAAAGCACCCGATTCCTAATTATATCCGTTGAATCTTTATATTTTTTTGTATCATATAATCACGTGAGTAATATACTCTAACAGAGACAGACATAAGGGTTTAATTAACATAATTAGAGACTTAAGGGAATAAAAAAATATATATATTCAAAACTTAATTGACACAAGAGCCCTATGTGTCGTTTACTATAGGATCTAACTTTCAACAACTAAATGGAGCACAAGCTGCTGAGTAGGGAAACAAGAAAATCAAAACACACCATTCATATGAGGGAAAGTACAAAAGCTTGTGACATGTTTACTAGGGTAAAAAATTTGTGTACGAGACAAAAATACAGACACACGCAGTGACCAATGCTTAAATGTACAATGATGTTGGCACAGATCCTCACAACATTAAACTTACAAGGTCACTCCTTTCACAAGATGACCCAGGAAAGTAGCAATGTTACAAATACCTAGCTTTCAAGCCAGAAAACCATGAAGAAATCAATTCAACATATCTCCCTTGCCTCGTCACGAAGCACTCCATGTATTGTGCATATTCTTAAAGAATCACAGACATCATGAGCCATACCAGAAAAATATATGTGACTGCTTTCCTGGCTCCGCTTCTCTCACTCAATTCCACTAGCCTCTACTTCTGGAACCATCGAAAACCATTTTTTGAGGTGTAAAGAATAATAATGCAGTGAACAAAGATGTTCCATGGCTAATGAATGGGGTGATATTGGGCTGATATTCTTTTGGGAGGCAACTTGCGCAGGATGTAGAGCACTAGAGCTGAAGGAAGGATTTCAACCACCTGTTTTTGAACAACAGAAAGTGAAAACATATTTGAAGAAAAACACGAGATTCAACAAAATGAAGTGTAGAAGAACTGTTACCATATAATAGATCAAGTTTAGAACTGGATGATAGAGTACATCAAGTGATGCATCAGCATCAAAAGCAGATAGAAACACCTGCATATAAAGACTTGAGTTAATTGTACATGCAGAAATTTCATCGACATTTGACACAAGCAACAATGCAATTGCTAAGAAACTAATGGCATCATTACTTAAAATAGAAACTTTACTTGACTCTTCAAGATGCTTTAAATAGGCATCGTTCTCTAGCTTTTCTCTAGATTATATTATATTAAACCAAAGTTACAGAAGAGATGACAACTCGAGGCTTCTACCCATTCTCTCTCTCTCTCTCTCTGATACATTGATCACCTAGTAATTCCATTGGATGTTCTTCCACAAATACAAAACCATCTTCCATGAATTTAACTAAGCTAGGTATCTTGTAATGCATCCACAATGTCCTCAATGCTGCCTTGTCCATTGGCCATTTCAATCTCCTCATTCTGTCTCACTAGCTCTTCCAATGAATTCATTTCTCAACTGCCCAGGTCATCACATAAACACAGATGACGTGACATACAGGTGATCCAAAATAACATGCTGCTAGAAGAATTCACATTTTTTCCACAAGTTCATAAACCTGCTGCCACCCATTTCTCATATTGTTTCACAAATATCCTCATTCTTTATTCCAACTCTTTTTATAAGGAATTAAGAAAACAAATCATTTTAGATAGTTTAGACAAGTTTATAGAAGACTTATCACTGCATTATGGGGAAAAAATGAATATGACAACCTCGTAGTTTAACAAAAGATACAGCTCTTGATAGGACACAATGAGGTTTTCTTGAGAGGTTTAATCTTACATTTTATTCACATGTTCATAAAAATCTTCTATTTATCAGTAATAATGGAATTATAAGGATAACACTGCTCAATCTCTGATGAGAAACTCTAATGCAGGGTCAGCGAGGAAGCAAAAGGCCGAGATGCCACTTTTTCCAGCTTTGCTGCACCATCTATTCCAAACAAAGTAGAGCAAACTAGATATTACCAACTCAAAACCTTACCCAAAGAAACAAGTTAATATCATAGTTCAGGTTCCAATTTTTGAGAGCGCAACTAAGTTTTGCCAACTCTGTGAACCTTCAAATGCTAGATGGTTTTCTTGACAACCTTCCATAAAATATTCAGAACTAGTCCTCTTTACATCTCCGATCACATCCGATGCCAAAAACTAAAACAAGAGTAAAAAGTCTTAATAACTATATCATGCCTAACGACTGGAATCCTAGCACCAACCACTTGAGTCAATACATGATACTGTTATCAGCAGATCATATGGGTGGCATTCCTTGCACAGGACAGGTACAAAGAGAACTCACTCTTCTAACAAAACCTCAAATTTTCCCAGAAGCATTAGCAAAGAGACTAATCTTTCCGGAAAAAGAATGGTGTTGAAAAAAGTCTGAACGTTACCACAAAGCATCTTATGAGGAAACACGTGAAGCATATGGCCGTCACAGATCCAACCTGCAACAGTTAGCATTTGTTAGGTCCGACAACTACTCTACATATAATAACTTTTTTCTGACTTATATATAGAAGTCAATCAGTCATAGATGCCACATAAATACAACCCCAGTTTTCATAGGATAGAAGCAAGGTAACTATCCAGTAATATTGAGAAGAAGTGGATCTGCTACGTGTTTGATTAGACATTTTGAAAGCTCAGGAAGAGTCAGATATTTCATATGCTAACTGTATGCATGTCTGGAGATGCGTATTATCATGCTCCCCAAACTGCTGTGCCATCATATTTCTATAATATAACATTGAGCCAAAATGAATTTCACATTGTTAACCAAAATTGTTACAATAACTAACTTGACCCATAAACAAATGCCACTCAAACTCCCCACTCAAATAACTGCACCACTGACCTAGCGGATATGACTATTTTTTATCACCAGATCAAATGGCACTAATGTTTTGTGGGAGGCTTGGTAATCATTGTGAACTTAGATCATGTGATAAAGAAAATTAGTCTACAAAAACTTCTACACAACATATCATCCATACGGTTTGGTATTATTGTTGGTGGTAAGGAATACGAGTTTTTAATCTCATGTAGCCTGTTCTATAGAATATATAATCAGAATAAGGACTGATTCTCCCTCCCTCCCTCCCTCCCTCTCTCTCCCTTGCTCATTAACACATGCACACTGCTTGTTTGATAAATTATAGTGATAACTGGTACTTTTATATATTGCAAATTGCTTAGGTCAGGTATAGAGTAATCCTGAAATTGTGAAAACTTGAATTGAGTCAGATAATAATGACTTTCTCTACATTATACCAACTTGTACTAGGTACTATTGGTTTCAACTCCTGTCTGGCTCATCAAATAAATGTGTCAGATCTACTTCATTCAAAAAGATTTGAACCATCAACACACCAAGTGACATACTTTATCTATCTTACAAAATCTACCAATACAAAAGCATGGAAAACACACATGTAAAAAATATACCCAAGAAGATGCAACACCACAAATATATCAAACGTGTCTCAAGATTCCAATTAATAAAATGTAGTAGAAAAAGTACAGACCTCATTTAGTTTCTTTCTTCTCCCTTTAGATTCAATAGGAAAGCGTCTCAGCATGAAAAACAATCTAGAAGCATTTAAGTGACCATCAACATTAAAAAGCATAACAATAACTAAGCACATGAACGTGAATATGAGGGAGTAACCAGAACATGGATTGCTCCAGATGCTTAAGTCATGAAACCGACAAATATGATTCAGAAGACTCACCTTCCTCCATATAGCAGGAAACCTAGTGCTGCTATAAATGATACCACTGCAAAAATATTCAAATAAGAACATATGCTCAACCAAAAGAAGCAATATATGTTACAATTAAGAATGTGTTGATTTCAATCTGTCACTTGTGAAGCTTGTTGAATACAGGATGACTGTTACAAGACCTAACCTGCAATAAATATCTTGCCAATGAATTCCACAGCGCTGTTGTCATCTCTCCAGAGGTATACCCAAATACAAGTCTGACATCAAAACTACTGTTAGTGAGATTTTATGTAAACAATAAAGGCTAATAGATTGTTAAAATGAATATTTTTATGATGGTCGAGGCCTTCCTGTCAGGAGGCTTGGAGTAGCCCCTCAACTAGAGTTTTTAGCACCCAGAATGGGCTTTCATTTACTTGAAAAGCTGGGCAATATAATCAAGCAACCTACTGGATAGAAGAATTACACAACCAGGAACTAAAGAAGGAACATGCAAAGCAAGCAACTTAATCCAACAACATCAACATAAATAACCAACACTCAATGTGAAAGCATTTGACCAAGTAACATAAAACTATATTTTTTTTTCACCCAAAACATGTTACAAAAAAAAATTACATTTAAAAACTAAAAATTGAAAACAGGTAGGCTTTGTCCCTTTTAAATTGCCTTTAGAATCTAGAAAATGGCTTATTTATGGAAATCCAAAAGATGTGATGGTAGGCAAGATATCTGAAATGAGAGCTAGGATTCCCATGAATATTAGGTTAAGAAGGAGCCAGAAGGGATACTCCTTAACATTTACAAATACTCCATCACAACTTACTTGTCAAAATCTGAAACTACATCAACAAATGTATATGTGAACAAAAGATTCACAGGTCAAAATAACCACCAAAGCATAATACAGATCAGGGGGAGCAGTTTAAGAGAAAGTGATGAAGCGGACCTGTATGAAGTACATTACACCATTAATTGAAATGTACCAAACTCGGAGTTTATCTGTTGGTAAACTTCTTGCCTGGCCATTAATAATAAGTACCAATGAGTTAGAACTTTTTCCCTAAAGTTACAGATAAAAACTGCATTCACTAGCATGTATCCCACACCTAGCAAGACATTGACTTTCGAGCTTTTACTTGCCTGGTGATAGATCTCTGCCCAAAATAAGACAAGAAGTGTGTATGTTGAGAAAAACAGTAATCCAGGAAGATCTAGCAGTACCAATATTACCACCTGGTTCCACATAGAGCTAAGTTGACATCAGTACACAAGCCTCAAGCATTGCAGATGCCATATAATGATTATTTTGCGTGGTGGGAAGGGGATTCTCCAATTAATCTAGTTTAGTGTTTGCTTTTGGCCACAACAATTCACAACAGTCTACCCTATACACTGAAGTAACTGCAATTGTGTTGAAGCTTTTACGGTTGTCTACGGGAACCTAAACAATTCACCTCGATCACATAACCATAATACAAATGATACCCACTAAGATGGAGCTAACAGCAAAAGACTTTTAGAACGTTGAGTAATTTAGCCACAAGGATTTACATGCAGTGGACTTTTTTGTTATTGCCATCATACCATAACTTGCATGACGCAGGAATTTGCTGTTTCTATATTGTCAATACATCATAAATGCACAAACCAGTAAACAAGATAGAAGATGCCAAAACATGAGAAAAAATGGAAATTTCAAAAAAAATAACATAAGAAAATCCTACACCAATAAACTCAGAGTAGACATTTTTCTGAAGGATTTGTTTGTTCACAAAACCAAATTTTCTTTTCTAACTTCACACATGAGGTGACTTTGGTGAAATTGAAACCCATACTTGTCCATACATTTAGAGAGAGGACATTGGGGATGAAGTAAAGGGAAAGGAACATGAATCTTAACTATAGTTTAAACCAACAGTGTATATAATCAAAAAGCAAACACAAATTGTGCACTAGGTTTGTTAACATTTGTCAAAAAATTTTGTACAAAACCAGCGAACTTACCCAGGGATGCAAATGAAACACTTGTTGGTGAAATCCAAACACAACAGCACGCACTGGAATGAACACATACATAATTAAACCGCTTCATAAACATCGAACTGAGAAGATAATAACTATTGATATAGAATTTACCTCCATTTACAATGAAGTTCATGAGGTGGAAAACCTTTTGTGTTGTCCAACCATACTCTGGTACTCTCAGTTCAATCCTTATTAATTGAATCTGCACAACATCAACACATCTACATGACTTCAAAAAATGCACTTACAAACTATAAAGGTTGTATTGTTAATTACATGCCAAGATCTTCATGGCATAATTTGCAAGCGCACATTGGTTCACATGGAAACACATAAAAAGCATGGGGTACTTCACAAAAATCCTTTGCGTTAAGTGAAATCCCATTGCCGCCATAATGGCAAATAAATTTGACATTAATTTAATCAATCAAACTAATTGAGAAAATTGTCATGAATAACTTAACGAACCGTACAAATGAATTTGAGAATTAAAAGGTACACACATTAAGGGACTAAAGAGGCCATCGCCAACGGTTAATTGTTTGGAAGAATTTGGAAATTCAATAATTAATCACAATATACAAAGTACTTGAGAACAAATGCATCTCATTATTCATCGGTTCAGTTCGATCACAATGAAAAATATACTTATAACCCAAACCTACATTCCAACACAGAGAAAACCACTTACTTCTTTTCTATCCTTTAATGATGCAATGGCCTATAATGCCGCATCTAAGGCATACCTTGAAGTTGGGATTGACATCCACATTAGTTCACATTATAAACAAGTTTTACACTTTTACTCCTATTTTAATTCTAATTCATGAACTTGAAGCTCTCAGAAGCTCTATAGGCAATAAAGAAGTGATTTCCATGCCACCTCATAGAACACCAAGTCCAACACTAATATCCATTTCCTTCCTCTAAAAGTTTGCTATAGGAAAATAGTATTGAATCTTCAATCTTGTTTCCAAGTTCCATGGATCTCCTAAATAAGAACTAAGCTGCAATTCAAGCACACGATTCAGTTCTTGGAATTTGAATAGAGGAATAATTAGCTCAGATTTGAGCTTTTTATTACTCAAATCCAATTTCAATATCTCAATTCTATGCTACATATAGTAATTCATACTAATCATCACTTCGATTAACCAGTACAGAAAAAAAAAATCTATTTGATTGACACATGTAGTCTGATTAAGCAAAATTAAGTATAGCTCTTGGTTTCCCCAGCTCCCAAACAATTGATAGAAATTAGATTCACAAACTCAATTCCAGCTCTTTCTCAGCAACCGAGCAGAACAAAATGCACACCACAAACAAAAACATATAAACACAGTGCGTGTGTGTGTGTGTGTGTCTCTGAGAGAGAGAGAGAGAGAGAGTAGTAGTAGTAGTAGTACCAAAGCAACAGAGGAGACAAGGCCAAAGGCGGCACATAGAGTAAAGAAGATCCCATCTTGCCATTGAACAGACTCGTTAATCTCGTCCCACCAATTCGAAGTCAGTCCTCCGATGTAAATCGACAGAAAGCTCAGTGGCATTCTGGTCATTTCTCTTCCTCTCAGAGCTTCAACTCCCTCCGCACAACTCAAACTTTCAAGAGAGAGCGAGAGATCGGTACGGGCGTTGCCTACCAGACGGTCTAAGACAGGTGGAGGAATTCGATTTGGAGTTTGGCTTTGGTCGGTTTTTCACAGCAAAGCTTTTACTTCTACTTCTACACATGAAACACATCTCTCTGTGTGGGCCCCTTTTTTTTTACATGTCGAAGAAGGTTTGGTGTTGGTGCCTGTCAAATACAATTGCAATGTTGCTCAAAAAATAAAATAAAATAAAATACAATTGCTATTTTTGTGGATTTTTTGTTTTTTTTCCTAATTTGAAAAATCAATTGCAAATATTAAAACCTCGATAGAGTAATTTATAAGGTACTAAGGACGACCCATGTGCGGTGCACCGAAGTTATACCTCATTACCTATTATTTAAGGAGGAAAGAAGTTGAATAAATAATTATAAAATAATTGGGAAGTTAAAAATAATAATTTTTTTAATGGCGCGGTGGTTATGACACAAACTATAGAAAATAATTTTTTTTAAAAAAATTAAATGATGAATTATAGTTAGGTGATGGTGGGTATGTCACATGGTAAAATTCAATTAGATTGATTTATCATAATAAAGTTGGTTTATAGTATGAATTAGGTTGATCTTTATACATGGTAAGAAAAGGCAAATGATTGTTTGAATGGGTTTATTCTTATTGTGTAGGCGTAGTCCCTTGATGCATTTGAATTAGGATTAATTTTTTTGATAAAAATAAGGAAAAAAAATAGTGAAATAGAATAATAAATAAGCCCAATCCAATAAGAATATTCGGATCAGCATCTTTATTATGCCTTTTGTCTGGCTACATGTAAGTGCTACCATGCCAAGTCTGGTTTTCTCTATCGGAAAGACGGGAACCTCGGACAATGACTACGGAGGGACTTCATTTAAACTTGACGGCAATAGCCTAAACTCTGAAATTGACTAATGCGATACCTCGCTAACGTAAAGAAATTGAAAATATTTATAGTCCGTTTGATAGGATGGATGAAAAATAAAAAGATAGAAAATGAGAGTGAAATATTTTTCATCCTTTTAAGGGAAAAATTCTTACTTCGCTTCTTTGTGTTTGGTAACTGTAAGAGTGATGAAAATTACGAAGAATTGATTTTTTTGTGTTTAGTAAGATAAAAAAAATATATATTTTTATGTTTTTATTAAAAAAGTATAAAAACGTATTTACCATTATATCTATATATAAAATTAATGTATGCATAATATATAATTGATACATATGATATTATATTTTAACACAAATAATTATTTTTTTATCTACTTTTTCTCCTAATTTTGGAGAGATTGATTTTTGTGAGTTGGAAGGAAAGTTAATTCATCCACTTTCCACCTTTCTTATTTTCTTTCCTTATAAAACATGATGTTTTATATATTCTTCCAACTTTCATTCTTCCAATTTTATAACTTTTCAATTTTTTATTGTACCAAACAAAACATTAAAGATCATGGTAAAACTTGTTAGAAATCAAAGTTATAGTTATTCAAGATTAAGTTACAATTAATTGAAGTTAGTCATTTCTAATTGATAATACCGAAAGAAATTACTCCGATCGAATTTGTGTCATAACCTGATCTAGCAATGGTTCAAGTTAGTCATAGGTGTAGTACTTGGGGAAAAGCCAAAAAGAGTAGGAAAAGACTCGTAATTCTACGTTGGGCAAGAAATATTTACATCTAATATGTTTTATCATTGTTTGTAAAATGTTACGTTATGCTTTGGGGTGAGAGGCTATAGTTTGTCAATGATTGCCCAAATATTCCTTGATAAGTTTGTTAGGATTACACCCTCTTGTGTATAAATAGGCAAGCTATTGCCTTGCCATTGTATGTGCAAACAAATACTCCAAGTGTAATATCAGTTTTCTTCATCAAATAATACACAATAAAGAAACAAGAGTTTTCATTTCAATAGACTAATTTAGTTCTTCAACTTGATAAATCACTTATCTTTCAATGCATTTCCTCTTATTTCATCACACACACTCTTTAGATATCACACAGAGCTGGTTAACTCTTTCTCTTATCTTTCAGGATATGAATTGTGAGTTTATATTTTTTTTCGAGAACAACATATGTGGACAACACATGCATCAATTTTTAATATAATTTGAAATAGATGTTAATCAAAGAACCACATTAGAACTAATTTATAATATTTTAGGGTGCAATGTGAAAAAAATAATCTTTCAGAATATAAAGTAAGAATCAAGACATCTTTCAAGGTATAAAGTACGAAAAGCCCAAATATATATGGCTAATCTACTTGATGGTGTGAATAATTGAGAGATAGGAATAACGGCTTTGTTCGAACAATTTATGACCTACCGATGAAATCTAAGTGGGTAAAGTGAGAAGACGAGAGTAGGTGAATCTTGTGAACACCGAAATGGATGTCGAGAGTCAGTGAGCTCGGTGCTCTATGTATGGTGCACTTGAGAGCGTGTTGTAACAACTTAGCAAAGAGTTAAAATACAAGAAGTTAAGTGGTTTACCCTTTGAAAAACCTTTGACTAATCTATTTTAATGGAGGCTTTAGCTAATTTTTTTGTATATTAGTTGAGGAAGAAAATGATAGCGGTTACAGACAGTTCGATCCCTTTTCAGTAGGACATCTTTTTCTATTTATGCAAGAATATATTTTTATTTTCTTTCATGGTCATGTAGTTCCTTCAATTCGTTAGAATCATTGAAGAACAGTTGATCGTTAGGAATAATCATATCTATATAATATGTGGGTTTCTAAAAATAGTGAGGTGACATTCCTTCCGTGATAGCCCGTTGCCGAAGGTAGGATGGGTTTGGTGAACTCTTCCTTTTCCTTTATTAACTAGATCCGAGTTAGCATGGTCGTGGCCAAAGTGTTTGAATATCGCTTAGTAATTTGGGAGTTATACTCTATGGGCTAGTTTATTTTGGGGATAAGAGTGATACAAAGAGGTGGAATTATAAAAATAGTACGTGGAACCTGTTTCATACCTTGTTTGTTTAGTATTTTATAGTCAGTACTATTTTTCAAATTGTAATATCGACCCAGTATAAATAGTAGTCATAATGTTTTGTAGATGGTATTAATGAATACCACTTACCCAAGTAATATTATTTTCATGGGTTAAATGAAAGAACGATACAAACATGCAAATTGACACAAATGACCTCATTTGTTAAGAGTTTACATATAAAAAATTTATTTTAAATTTTTTTCTTGTATTATGTCTAAGTGTAAGGTATCACCGGTTTTTTTTTAACTTTTTTTTTAAAATTGTTTTAAATTTTTTCCTTATATAAATAGTTACGGGAAAAATGAAATAAATGATGTTAAGGGTAATATGATATATTTGTTATATAAGATGTGATAGAATAGATGACTGTTTGTGGGACTTACTATAGTACCTATTAAACAAATAAATATGAGAGTGGATTGAAATAATTTTTATTATCCGTAATAATATCCCTTAGTATTGAAAATATAAGAAATATATTTCTAATATCACCAAAAAAAAATAATACTCAAAAAGAAACATGCGCCAGCTGGGTTGTCCCCACCTGAGGTCGGTAATGTTGAACTGCAAGGCTGAGGTACGGTTAATGGTGTCATCATTACTATTAAAATTTAAAAAACATACTTTAAAAGAGATGTGAATTACAACCCATTGGTCTCGGTGTGGAGAATAAATTTGCTGAGTGAGGTGTGCATGTGTGACAAGATGATTTGTGTTATTGGACCAAAAAACTTTGTTTATTTTGCAACACCTCACCTAGCTACCCCACTTGTGATATGTACAAGATCATCTACAAATGCTTGACATAATTAAAATTATATATGCTATAGTCTTCATTTAATTATGTGATCAATTAAGTTGATAAGTATGGCTTAGTTGCGTTAGCTAATGGGAAAAGTGTGGCGGCTCCTAAGTTTGGACATTGGTCAAGTTGCATTTTATTAAAGTATCATTTTGGGGTATTTGTCGTCAGCCTGCATGACATGTATATAAAACATATGAAAAAATGAACCTTGACATGAATGTAACTCCTTGTAACCATTTGCATACATTTGTCCTATTTTGAAATAATATCCATTTTTGTATATTTATGGCAAGAATATGCAAGCTATACATGTATTTAACCCCTAGAATTCACTTAATGTATTTTTATTATTAAATGAGTTACATGGCTCGTGTTGAATAGATTCCACAACGTAAATTGATTATTTCGTATCTGAATATATCCATGAATCGATTTGTCAGATACTTCCAACTTGATGTGTACCTATTGTCATTACCCAATTGTCACGGTAAACGCTAAATTGATGTTGTAACTCTTTAAATAACTATTTTTTTCTCTAGCAAGCCACAAAAAGCTCAATTAACAAAATATTTTGTCGGCAATGTTTTACTTACCAAGTTTTTCATCCAAAGTGATGGACACAATTTCCATCATTGAATAGGAATAGGACTCACTTATTTGATGATGAATACAAAATAAAAAATCTCGATCAGTATAGTATTGTTAATACCATGTACAAGACTTAGATAGTTGGTTTTGGTATAATCTTACGTTTACAATTTAAATTAATTGCTTATGACAATACCACATTAGGATCCGTGGCGCAATGGTAGCGCGTCTGACTCCAGATCAGAAGGTTGCGTGTTCGATTCACGTCGGGTTCAATCCCTTCAAACTCACACGGCTCACTTTTTTCGGCCAGCCAGAACACGTGCCAGTGTTATTCTGCACTGTACAACTATTTGAAGCAGCAATTCTTCTCTGGCAGAAGCCCCGTGTTGCTCTAGCAATAGAAACCCAACCTATCCCTCTCTCTCTCTCTCTCTCTCTCTCTCTCTCTCTCTCTCGGTCTTCAGCTTCGACACTGAAAAGTGTGTGGGCTCTGGGATTCGGATTAAGGGTTATGTGTGATAGGCAACTTCCTCTGTT